GACAAATTTTCATTACTAAGAAAACAAATGGGTTGGTAGGTTAGAAATAGAACATACAAAAATACTCTTTCAAGGTAACTTTATAAAAAGCTAGCAAACTATAAGGTCAGCAAGGAGAAGAGGAGAAGCAGAAAATATTGTAATTGAAAAATGTTTTAATTTTTTGCAATATATGCTTGTTTTTTCTTATTTTGTTTTTAAATGAATTATGAATTTAATAATAAAACAGTGTACAGAAATATGCATTGCTATTCTTTATCTAGCATATTTAGCTCTCCTTATTTGGAGAACTGTTTAACTAGTTGCCATGTTCACTCAAGACCACTAGAAGGTGCTCCTCTGTTGAAAGATAATTATTTCTGTCTGAATTGCTGTTAAAAGCTAATTGTCCTCCGATAACTGTGGTTCTGGCCAATTGTTACGCAGACTGTAATTGTAGCCACTACCCCTGCTGTAAAAAGCTGGACCTCGTCTGCTATAACCATTATCACAGCCTGAAAATAACAGATTTGTTATCACTCATTCTCTGATAAATTAAAATCCCATCTGAGCAGGACTCTAGTTACTTTTGCTGGAAGGTGAGGCATGGAAATTGTGGTGGAACTAACAAACATTTTGTAAAGTCACAGAATCATTTTGGTTGGAAAAGACTTTTATGATACTTGAGTCCAATCATAGACCTAACACCACCTAAGCCCCTTACTGGAGTAAACTAAGGCAGAATGCATCCGTAGTGAGAGTTTGTACACTTGTCTGAAGTCTAAAGGAGAGTCCAACACAAAAAGCAAGCAAACAAAAAACAAATAAACAAAAATCCAAACCAAAACAAAAAACCCCAAACAAAACTATGACAAACATACAGTCACTTGTTAGAAGCACAACTGTTAAATATAAGACCTGTCCAAATCTGGCAGAATAATAATCAGCCTTCCTCTGTAAGATCTGTGCAGATTGCAGCACATACTACTTCTGAGATAGGACTGGATTAAATGATTGTGTCCTTTTTTGGTGCTCAGACAGGTGTTGATCTGGGTGCATATAGAGGTGCTAGTTGAGAAGTGTAAACCTTACAGAAAAGCAATTTTCACTGAGTCTGGAAAGGCCCAGGTCTATGTGCATACCCCTGTATGTGGTATATGTGCACATATACCACTGTGAGCTAGAGAGCGTCTTTTTCATCACTGAAATGTGCTTCCTCTTGGTCCCACAAAACCAGTTCCCCACTTTGTTTTGCGCTGGAAACACAGACATGCTTAGTAACCCCTGGGAGATCTAGTCACAGTCTCCATAATAGACAGCAGAGTTACAAGTATTTATTGAAGACAAAAAATAAGCCTCATGCTTAATCTGCTTTGTTTTCTTATTAAAAATTATTTATAAATGTTTATGTTAAAGGTCTGTGTAGTAGATACATTTTAAGCAATTCTATTTACTATTAAAAATAAGCTTGTGAATTGGCTTCAGGAGAAAAGAACAAACAGTATAGAAAAACCCCTGATTATTTTGACAGGTTGTCACAGAGCTTCACTAAAGTGGCATTGAAGAACAGAGATTTCAGCACTTCCCTTCAGAGTTCAGCATCAGCATTATACAGGCTATAAATACTGCTATGTTTCTTTTATCTGTGATAAAGTTTGGATTCCAAAGAATTCAAAGAAGGAAAAATGGTGATAAAACATTTTGGCTCTAAAATTAAAAAAATAAGGAGGATCGTAAAATTGCTTACATAGGTTTGGGAGTTCAAAAGTGCTAAAAATTCTAAAAGAATAAAGAGTGCAAAAATATAATTTAATACTTACATGCCCTTTAACTAACTTTTTAAAAATTATGCAGTGAGGCCATTTAAAAAGAGAATTTTTTTCCTAGTCTTGTAACCTGAGATTGAGTCACATAGAATTAAAAAATCTACACCTCAGGAACAAATGCATTAGCATTTTCCATTGCTAATGCAGGTTTTCAGTTACTTCCCCATTAAAAATGTTCTAAAACGTGACAGGAAATCAATATCTATTTTTATAGGTTTCCTTTTATCTGCATCAGCACATTGTCTAAACCTGAAGTAATAAAATCAGTAATAGTAAACTCTAAAATTAAAATTATAGGCTAAATCTCTATAAGGAAATTGAGAGGTGCAGAAATATTCAGAATTAAGTCTGCTTATACATTAATTCTAGCACAACTTTAGTTCTTCCCACATTATCTACATTTACAACTCTTCCAAATCAGCAGACTGAAGTATTCCTTCTAGGTAATAGCAATAATGTGAATGTAAAGCAGAGATGTGGTGCCTTCAGGACCCCCCCCTACAACGTTTGATATGGCAGATGGCACTGACCATCCTCACCTGGCTCTTTCTTGCCTTTGGGTAATCCATTAAGAAAGTGTTAGCTCTTTCCTTGCAGCAGCAAAAGTCCATCCTCCTATTCTTGTTTTGGTATTAAAAGATGAATGTGCAGTCTTCTGCACAATTATTTTCTTCTTTGAGAAATCACAAGAAATCTTTAAAGGCTATGTGGCATTTCTGAAATGGCATTTCTTTCTCTAAGGAAGGCAGAGTGCTATGCATTTCACCTGTGTGCACTCACCTGCAGCCTCTAGTTCAGATAAGGCTCTTGAGACCACCAAAATAAGGTGACACAGGTAGTACAGAAGCTCAGTGGAAAGACATCTGGCTGTGGACATCAGTCTTCTGACCAATGTTGGCTGAACTGGTGGGAAACCCGAGATCCTAAGCTCCCTTTGTCTTAGCACACCGTGTTCTGTGTGAGGACATCAGTTTTCTAGCTGTCTGTAGCTGAGACCTTGACTGTTACCTTTTGTGACATCAGGCTGCATTTTACCTTAGACTGCAAAAGCTGAGAGCTGCAGTGTTCCCTGATTAAGGTTCACCTTTCCCAGCTGGAGGAAGCCCCATCTATGCTGCATCATGTGAATTGAGCTGGTAAGTGCCAGCCTGGAGATGTCCTGAAAAGAGAACTTGGGAGGACTGTAGGTTTGATAGGTCCCTGCAGGAGACCAGTACATCCCACCATCTCTTGATTGCAGGCTCCAGGCAGAGCACAGGAGACTTGGCCCCTCAGGGCCTTGGATGTCTCTAAACTCTAAAACAGGAACAGAGAAGATACATTTCCTCTTTCAAGGCAGATGGATTTAGCCATATTACCTGCCTCTGCTGTGGTTCCTCCAGCTGTAGAATCAGTCTAGGCATATTTTTTCTCCTGCCTTCAGATATTTGATTTCCACAGATTAAAGCAATGTACAATAGTGAAGTATTTTAATAGCATTGTGGTATTGTTATAGTTTGCTAAGTGAGGTGATTCTGAGGCATAGCAAAGAAAATCTTTGATACCGGAATGCACTTATTTATGTATATTGAAGAGAAACCAAACTTTAAGGAACATATGAACATTTTTATTTTAAAAAGTCTTAATAACTAAACATTTCAGTAGTTTCTCTGTGAGGTGAAAGTATTATGAAGAAAAATTGAGAATGCTTTCCTTAGCAACTTTGGGAAATTTGTAGCAAAATTTCTCTCTTCAACTTAGAAATTTTTGGTTTAACAATTGTTGCTTACAAAACCATGCTGAATGTACAATAGTAAATGAGAAAGTTGTTTCTCTGAGAATAGATGTACATAAAAGGTCAAATCTTTCAGGTCAAGGTCTATCTTGTGTTCACTGAATGTATTATGAAGATGTTAGAATATCTAGACAAGGTACACAAAAGCTACCTAGACCTTGCGGTCAGTTTTGGAGGCTAATGCATTATTACAATATACTATATTGTGTTCAAACTCATAATAGTTAGGTATTTAACTGGATACCATATCCTCAGATTTCATCCAAACAAGATCAGTGAGAAACCAGTATTGCAACATATTTGTCATAGTAGAAGATGTTTACTTTGGCTCTTGGCTGTTTAGTTTATTGTCCACTTACTGTAGCAAAAGGGAATACACATATAATTTTATTTGTTTATGTCATTCTATCCAGGTAATAATATAATAAAACATTTTAGGAGCATGTATTTCAAAGTGAAAAATATAAGCAAGTAAATATGAACAGCTGTCTTGTGCCTTTTAACTCTTACTTTGTAGAAAACCTTTGGTTTCAATCAGGGCAACATGAGCATTAGATCAGCTTAGTTGAATAAAAATGCTTTTAAAAAGTGTTTAATTTATTATATAACCATTTCTAATGAGGAAAACAAATGTCTAGAACCTAATCAGCTACTAGAGTATATTCACTGCTGAGTATCATGAGAAACTGGAATATCTAGGAGTAAGAGATGGAAGGATGACTTTTTAAAGATGATGCAGTGCTTTTAGACTCAGCCAAGGACAAAGGCATGTTGTATGAGATGTCCAGGCTGGAAGAACAGCCAACAGAGGCACTGTGGCACAGATGTGTTTTGTAGCAATGTTTTGTAGCAATGCCCTTATTTGCCTTTTTTCCTTCTGTTCTTCATTATTCAGGGTTGGTTGAGACTAATTTTTCCAGAAGCATAAGGTTGTTACTTCTCTTTTTGTTCACTTTTTCTCTCATGTGTGTGAGCATCTTGGGACCTCTGTTATAGATGGCTTTATTGATAGATAATTAATGAGCTTTATAGAACTTGTGGACACAGACAATGGAGGCAGACATGGAGGCATATTTCCAATAGATAATTAAATTTTAAAAAAAAGAATGTTTTTCTTTTAAAGTAAGAAAAATTGAAATATTAAGACATATCAAAGGAAAGAAGCACTACTTAGAATGAGGTAAGTACACAGGCATGCAATTCTTCTGTGGGATTTTGTGAGTGTAATAGTACATCCCAACACTTATAAAGTTGTAAAATGTTTCAGATTATCAGAACTGGATTGTTTTCTTGTCACAGTTACAGACAATTAAAAAAAAAAGTCTAGATTTTATACATATGTCAATACAATTGAAACAGAACAAGAGAGATTGAACACCCATGTAGAATAGAGTAATTTTCTAATACAGACAAGGAGAAAATGATATTAAACCTGTGGAACTTAACTAAGATTGTACAAAGTACATTAAAATTATTTTGTCATAAGTAACTTTGAAAATAAAGTTAATGTGCTCACTGATACATAGGCTTTCATAATTAACAAGGTAATGTGTGGAACTTGGCACAAAAACAAGTCAGCAGGTGGCTGATTATTGGAACATGATTATTTTGCCCGTACAGTGTGATGAAAGAACACATATTTAATGACTCTTGAAGGTGGATGCTCTGATGACTGTTGTGCTGGTTGAATGACTAAAATGTATTGTAGTCAAATTATCTTGGACTGTCCTGAAACTGTGATGCTAAGACCCCAAAGGAGCAGAAGCATTCTGTGGCATCTCTTACCCTTTTTGCAGCTCGGCCACCTTTTCATTTCAGAGCTTTTCCAGTGCAGACTTCTCCCTGTTGAGGAGTTCAGAGTTCCTGGTGGAACATGGGCTCCTCTGAAGCAGAGCACTAATAACAAACATCTGTAGTTGCCCAGGCTTTGGGGGGAACTCCTGTTGCCTGGGAGAAGACTTAGCACAGCTCTCTAATCCATGCTTGTTTATCTCATGAGCAGGTCCAGTGTAGCTCTGACTATCCTCAGGGACTTTATCTTACTATTTATTTTTCGTTTGTTTTTGGAAATGTGCTGCACTTTCCTGGGTTAATGAGGTTCTGCTGCCAGTGGAGCTCCAGAGCAAGCAGCATTAAAATGAAGTACTTGTAGAAAGCCTCTCTGCAAATGCTCAAGCAGTTCAGCTGGAAGCATTCTGACAGTTATTAATTGCACAATCACAATCACAGCAGCACTTAAAAACAGATGAAGAAATAATTAACAGAAACAATTAGGAGGATCCTCAACACTGTCTGCTCTTAATCTTGCTGTATTTTTCTCTCCCAGAATTAAAGGAGCTACTTAGAACTTTTCATCATTTTTTTATTCCATGTTGCATATACATACAGATAGAAGTATTATTTTACAATAAATTAGGGTATGACAACAATATTTAAAATGCCAATACTGTAAAGCTAGGAGCTGCTAGTATTTCTTGTCTTGTTAAGTTTTACTCTGCATTTCTGTGTATTCTTGTTTATTCAAGATATATCTGTACAATATGGGAGACAAAATATGAAATAGGTCTGATGACACAAAACCCAAAGAGCAGCTGGAGATGCGAGTCTTTGTACCCTGGTGTTTAAGTCATTGTTCTCAGGGACAGAGTGATTTCCCTTACCTTTCCTCTCAGACAACAGCAGTGCTGGCACTTGGGATGACATTTTATACTTTTAATTCTTTGATAGAATGTCTTATTTGCTATTGTAAAAATAATTGGGTCAAGGCAACTGTTGATGCTGCAGATGATCTCTGTGACTTTGTAAATGGCACTTAATGTGCTTATGTTCCCACAGGGTGGTTGACAATTAATTCTGTTAATTAGTATCACCATCATCATAACATGGTAAGGTATGAAAGAAACCGCAAACACAATCATAGCAGCTGAAATCAGTAACAGAGGCCTAACAAGTCTGTTCCTTCTTTGCTGACGTTTACTATATTGTAGTAATGCTTTGAGAGTCAACATATAGCATGTGAAGATGACTGTGGCTGGAATTAGGAATCTCAGTACAATTTTGGAGAGTGTGAATGGCACGGCAAATTGTAATGGTTCTTCAGTGCTATCCAGGTAATTTATGATGTTGTGCTGTCTTCTAGCTGCAACTGTGTAGTAAATCTCAGGCCCCGATGCAATCCCTATGAAGATCCATACCCCGATGGTGCAAAACACAGCCTTTTCTTTGTCCCACCATGTTAATGAACTGATGGGATGAACAGCACCTATGTATCTGTCAAAACTGATGAGTGTCAGGAAATACACACTTCCATAGATATTAATACTAAAAAATAGCCCTATGATCTGATAAAAAGCTTGACTGAAATAGACAGCAAACTTCTGGATATTATAATATACTGAAAAAGGTGCCATGAGAGTCCAAGTAAAGTCACACAGTGCCAAATTAAAGAGAAATATGGTATTGGTAGTCCATGTCTTCATGCAGTAAACATAGTGTCGTAGTGCAAGTATATTGCCTAGAAATCCTGTTAATAAAGTGAAAAGGCAAACCAGAATCAGCAAATAACAGTACCACTCCAGCTTAGGATTTCTGTTGCAAATGAAAATAATGCATGTACCATTCATCATCTGTCCACGGAGTACGCCTGAAGGGAAAAGAGAGACCAACAGCCTTTAAAATAAAAATAGAGTTGGATACATTGCATATAAAATTAAAAAAATTTAAATTTAATTTAGTGTGTTTGAACTGGCAAAAGAATTCAGAACATAGTATAATGTACAAACTCTCTCCTCTATCTGAAAGAAATGTAAATTCCAAGTAGGTAACACAGCTTACTCTACAACAGCCACACAAGCAGATCTTTATGAATTTATATGAAAAGGTTTATATATTTTCGTCTCTGCTATTTATTGTAGTGTACAATGGATTTGAAGAAAAAAGTGTGCACTCTCAAGTGACAGCAGTATCCCTTGGCCACTAATCTATCTTTGGAAAAAGCAGAGGAGGTGACAGAAGGACAGTATTTGCCCATGCTCATTCCATCATTGCTTTGATTGCCTTGAGCATTCATATGGGGCCTAGGGGCAAGGTTCATGTGGGCAGCTGTGCACTGAACTGTGACTGAGATCAACAAAACAGCATCAAAACAAATGAGGGTGAAATTCTGCTTTTAGTGAAGGCCACAGAAACTTTCAATCTAAAGTGCTAGGCAGAGTGCTTTTTTTTGACTTTTTTCTTTGGTTTTCTTCTGTAAATATTTGTCTCAGGATGTGCTTTGGTAGGGTTAGAGAATATTCTTTTTGTCTAACTTTATGGCCTACTTTATATCAATTCCCATTATGGAATATGTGGAATATAGATCTGCAGTGTATTTTTCAAAGCAAGTTTTTAATGCTTATAAAGTCTTATGCTTAATTATAATGATTTTTTTACTCCAAATAAAACCAAAGGCTGGAATATTCAGTCAGAATGAGCTGCCACCAATTGCAGCTTGTTATGTTTCTAGAAAATTTCCAAATGATGCCAAACTGTGAGGTCTGTCCAAGTAGAAGCTGTATATGAGGATCATCCAAACAGCAATTGATAAATCAGAGTACGCTACACCACTTGCTAGGATGAAAGAATAAAATTTTCATGAGTACAGGCTACACTTTGAGTGGAAGAAAGGACCTTTTTAGAATGTTATTGATTCATTGAAAATTTTGAAACGTCTTCAAGTGTTGAGTTGGCAGTAGTGGGTTTTTTTCCTAACATAATGCTTTGCTTTCATGTCAAGCTTAATACAATAAATCTTTTCCAAAGGTATGTTCACATATATGGGTCACAATATAACAAACAGAAGCTGCAGTGAAAACCTGCTAAATACAGACTGCATTATTGTGCTTTGCAAATTATAGTCCACTCAGTTACTTGACAAAAAGCTGGTTTAGACTGTGCTCAACAAAATTAGGAAGGAAAGTGGTTTCTCTAGAAGCTCAGCAACAAAGGCAGTCAAATGACTTTCCAGGAAATGATGTAGATAGAAAACCATCTGTTCTACTCAGAGGGTATTTCACAGGTGGGGAGTGTTTGTTCTATAAATATATTTTTTAAAGTATTGAAGCATGGACTTTAACCTAGGGTAGTTATACTTTCCCTTCTCCTTAGTCTTTGTAAAATATAAAAAATTATGCAAGCTGAAATTTCTAAGATATCCCTGTAAATTCTTTAAAATGTGAAACATAGTTAAGTAACATTTTCTCATGATATTCAAATAAAAGTTCAATTAAAAGTAGTTGGAATAGGTATAGCAAATTTATGTTTTCCTAAAATCCTCTTGTCTAGAGTTTGTGTTCTTGGAATTAAATGGCATTTCCTACCTCTCTGCCTTCCTTTTCAGTACTTACAAATGGCAGTATAAATAAGTTCTAAACTGGCTACAAACAGTATGGCCATAGCTGCACGAGGGAATTGTAATGCCAGGTTCCCGATCTTATTAAGCTTCTGGCCAAGGGCTATAGGTAGGTATAAATGGAGGGAGGCAAACAGCTGTGCCCCCTGCTCTGCTTCGCTCTAAGTTGGCTGGATAAAGTCTGGATGTGCAGCCTTATAAGTGTGTTAGGGTAGTCACAGACTTGAACAAAAAAAAATCCCCTTTCTCCTTCATCGCCTTCAGTTTGGTGGGCTGCACTCAGAGCTGAGCTCTATGAGGTTGGCTTTGTAGCTGAAGGGGATGGAGCTGCCCAGCTGTGTAAGGTGCATTTGGAGCTCAGAGAGTCATTAGAAAATATGTCTGTTTGTGTAGGCATTTCCCACATGTCTACCTTGGGATTACTGTTTGAATTTTCTAAAATATTTTTGCTGTCTCCTGTTAATTCTTTGTATTGTAGTAGAGCTTAGAGACCATAAATAAGACTAGGTTCTTGAAGCTGTGCCTTGCAATTGAAGTGAGTGGCTTACAGGGTGGACACAGAGGAACAGATGCAGAGATAAAAAGAACCTTTCCTGAGATAACTTAATAAACAAGAGGAAAACACAAGGGGTTTGACCCCCAGCTTGGTACTATTCCAGGATCTCCTGGTCTTCCATCAGAAGAATTTAAAGCCTTATACAATCACAGATGCAGTCTGACTGCATGCAGGAAGACGGCATGCCTTGCTCTATGCTGAAGCCATTGGAGCTACCCTGATGTCCAGAGGATATGTGCTGTAATAATTTTCAGATGTGACATTTTTTTATATCAGACAATAGCAAGTTTTCTGTCTGCTATCTTAGCACCAACAGAATAACTCAAGCTATGAGTTGGATATGACTAGATTGTGTTCACAGTTTGAATCCAAAATTTTGCATCTGTATTTTAAGAAAACTTTATTTTTCTGAATATTACAGCATTCACTGCTATGTCTATTTATTCTGGAGCAAAGCCAGCCAGCACACATATGCATATTGTATGGAGGCAGAATGAGCAGCAGCACCATGGCATTACAGTGTGCATATGTTGTTAGTACTGACTAAAATCAGTCTTTCCAAACTTTGATGAAAGTAGAATTGGTTTTCAAGGTTTAAAAACACTTATTGGGGTTAATTTTTCAGTTGAACAGTTTTTGTCATAGATGAAGATGACCTGAAGCACTAAGTGGGCAGAAAGGGCAAACCCTTGATGGTGCACCCAGAATTGAAGGAATACATCTGATTCAATTAAAAGCTTGGTATTAAAATATTGCAAATATGCCTGCGAAATTGTTGAAGTTTATGGTTTCCATCAATCATAATTAGGACAAGAAAGCATGCTAAATGCATGGATAAGAACTTACTGTTTCTCTTGTTTCTGCTTCTGCAGTTTAATGAGTGCAACCATATTATGGGCTGTAGAGCTAAAGATACTAAAAAAGCTTTAGTTTTTTAAAAAGGGACCCGTTTGACTCAATTTTTTGTATCTGCCTCTTGAGTTGACTTTTCTCTTGGAATGGAAAAGAAATTCTGCTCGGTTACTGCCTGGTTTGTTACAGGACCCTGAAATCTCTGCTACCCTGTGTTTCCCTAGTACTGTTGATGTGCTCTCCAAAGCCTTGGAGCAGATAAAAAGACCTGTTTCCAGTAAAAAATTACATTTGGAGGAAACTTCTGGCAGAGATAGGAAACATTATGATAGGAGAATCTTAATTTTCATATATAGTTAATTCACAGTTTATCACTGGAAGTCATTCATATGGCATTTAACTTGCATTTGCAAAGGTCCATTAGGCTTAACACATTTATTTGGGGATTTTTAAGTATATAATTTGTTATGTGTAAATATATCCTAATTACCATGTTCTTCTGTGTCATACCTGTTGGGGTTTATTTTACATTTTTAACAAGTTCATATTAAGCAACTAATTTTCTCTGAAGTTAAAAAAAAAAAAAGAAAAAGAAAGTTGAGTCAAAAGCTTATTTTGTGTAATATTATTTCTTATCTACTCTCTTTGCCCCTTGCTATTTTTTGTTTGTTATTATTTATAGTAAAAGGCCTAATTTTACATGAACTCTTATTTTTCTGGAATTACTCTGAGAATTTTGTTGGGCTCTTTGGAGTTGTATTTTAATCTACTAAAAGTCTATTCCAGTTACTAGATAGGTTTTCCAAATTTCTGACCATTCACACCCCATAATATTTCTGTTATGTGTTCTTTCCAAGTGTAACCTTTTAGCTCACTTTATTAAAAAAACCCATTATACAGAGTTGTATGTTTTGTTATAAAAATAATAAGCATTATTTGCAATTTTTACTTTAACAACTTACCTGTTAGGCAATCATCTGATCATCCCTTTTTATTTCAACAGAATTGATGTGAAAGGATATATAAAGCAATTTGAGCATTACGTGGACCATTTAACATATTTTAGTTTTAGTAACTGCATTTAGCATGTTATACTTACTGGTATGGTGGGAACAAAAGTAACATCTGTGACATTTGTGTGCAGTTAGGTAAGAAGATTGTGCTAAGATCCAATTCCTTTTGTTTTTGTATATCAGTATTGTGATTAAGTACTATTTCTCTCATTAAAAATTATGCTGATGAACCCTGCTTGAGAGTTAATGAAGTCGTATATAACAAACACAAGCTACAGTAGAAGGAAAGTTAAAGTGGAAGAATTTGCCTACTGAAGACAGTATTTATGAAAATATTATTTTAAGAATATTATATTTATACATATTAGTAGGTATTAATTAGTGTGTAATAACTAAACAGGAAACAGCATTACTTTGGAGAGTGCAGGTGCAATGAATATTTATTAAATCTTTCCTCTTACCTGTTTTAGAAAAGTTGGAGTTATCTGTTTTACAGAAGTCAAGATTCCAGGCTGTATTTTTTCTCTCCATTAATCTGGACCTCCTGAAGTCACACCTCTATTTTGCGAGTAGTGCTGATTATAAGAGGTGTCGGTAGTATTCCATATGCAATGGCAGCTGTTCAGAGAGCAGGTATCAAACTGCAAGGGAAGTATCTTTTATCATTAAGCCCCTCCTCTCAGTAAGTCAGGATAACATGCTATTGTCGTAGCAGCCTCCGCTTGCTCTTTAGGGAAGGACAGACTTATGGGACATCCTCAGTCTAGCTAGGCCTGGGGCTGTCATGGTTCCCAGCAGTGAAAGTGTAGAAGAGTACAGGGAGTTGTGGCGTGGGTATGTGTGTTTGCACTTTCCCTTTCTTCGCTCACAGAAACCGTGTTGCTGCCCTACTACTGGACTGGTCTGCGGACCTCTGCTGCTCTTGTCCCATTATAGAGCTTAATTCAGCCCCCATATACCTTCCTGCCACTTCTCCTGCCTCATGGTTCCCACATATTCCAAATCTCAGCTTTTTCAAATAACTCTCATCCTCCAATTGCCTAATCCTGAGCTCACATCCTACCTCTTCAGCCCATGTTTGCTCCAGGTCCTCAAGTTTTCCTCCCCCAAACCTGCATCTCCATCTTCAGCAGCAAATACCAGCCCTGGAATCTGCCTGTCTGACTGAATGAGCATTTCAACATTTTTGTTATTTTCTCCCACTTTATAGTTTCCCTCTGTGTCCAGCCCTAATCAATGCTAAATGCGGGCTTGGTAGTTCAACAACCAGCTGAGAGAAACTGCCTCCATCCCAGACCATTTCACATCTCAGTCTGCTATATCACTTCTCTAGACACTTCCTGTCCAGCTTCTCATATTAGTTCTGTTCTTCCTTTTTTCACACCTTCTAGCACCAGATTGCACTGTCTTCTTGTTAGATGCTGTCCTTCACCTTGCTGCTTGAATTATCCCTTGTTCTCCTTTACCCCCTCTTAGCTTCTGCTGTGGCACTCTCAGCCTTGCGAAAGCAAATTCCCATCTCTTGTGCTAGTGAGGTTTTCGATACTCTAAACACTTCTCTGAAGGCAGAGATGACAGCGAAGAAGAGCTAGCCCAGGAAAAATACGTTTGTGGCAAAAATATCATAAAAGTTTCACCTAACACCAGAAGTGAGAGTAAGCAGATTTTCTTTTCAAGTGGCAAGACACACCAGTATTCTTTGAAAAAAGGTATTCTTTGCAGAAGAAAGTATAATACCATATAATATGACTAAAGTGATAGGTCTAGAAAAACATACAGTACAAGATTATACACAGACTCATAATTTGATTACCAAATTAAATTAGGGAAGCAAATAATATTTGTCAGTGGACATACCTAAAGTACTTCAAACTGTCTTAGACATGAAAAGCTGTCTTGGACATGGAAAAGGAAAATTATATATGAATCAGTAACCTTTTTTAGCACTTGAAATGCATTGTTATGGCCTGTGATCATTCTCACCATCTTTTAAAAATACTGCTATTAATAGGTTATTGTTGCATTATTTTTTCTCCCCCAACTCTGGTTTGCAAGTAATTTGTAATTTTATAGCAATAATATCTGTTCATGCTGAATTACAGAAGGGTAGTTTGTCTACATGATGCTAAGTACGTCTTCCTCACACACAGTTAAATAATTTGCCATAGGAAGAAATACAGTTTAGTAGTTTATTTTGGTTTTATTATGATGTAAAATATTATGTGTATTTACCGACTGACTAAAATCTGCCTTCTCATAATTTTTTGTACCGTAGGTCAGTTGCTCCGTCTGAAAATGTTTCGAGAGGACCATGGGTCTTGGATGACGATGTTCTTCAGTACCATCCTCTTCCTTTTCATATTTTCTCACATTTATAACCTGTTCCTCATTATGGCAGGGAATATGAGGTAGGTTCCAGATTTTATTTTTGTCTCTTTTGCTCTAGAATATACTTTACTGTAAGCTTTTTTATTCCTCTGCCTTCTGAATTTAGGTAGAATAGTAATTTAATTGGTTAATGAGCCCAGAGGATAAACTTATAACATTTTTAGTTATAAGAAATGGAATCCTAGACTAATGTTAGCAACTGTGAAATCATGGTAATAATGATAATTATATTTGTTTGTTTGTTTGTTTGTTTAAATTATAGCTAAACAAATTTGATTAGAAATTAGGACTGAGTGGTTTACAAGATTAAGCATTACTATTGTGCCTGGGGAGGAAGTTCAGAGTTAAAAGTAATTGAAATATCTAAATTTGAGGAAGCTCATGGATATTTAATGGGAGTATAGTTTTTTTGGGTGGTTTTTTTGGTTTTTTTTTTTTTTTTTTTTTTTTTTTGGTTATGTACAGCAATATTTGCTGATCTAGTTTGTTTAGAATATTCTTAATTTTTTTTTCCCACAAGTTGCTCAGACAGAGCAAAATTGTGTTTGGCTGATGAACAGCCATCTATTATATAGGGATTTATTTCAAATAGATCTGTTTATATTAATTTTCTGTCTAAAGCCTTGCTTTCTCCTGTTATCTCAAAATTAACATCACTTACATGTGTTGATTTTCCTGAGAAAACCTATATTATTAGTAATCTAATATGTACAGATTTAATTCATTGGATAAAAAAACCCACAGCAATGTTGTTTATTAAAGGCAACATAGCATCTAAGGACTTCCCAGCAAGATGTAAGAAATCCAAAGTATTTATAAATTGAATAACAATGCAAATAATTAAATTCCTTGTTCCTAGCAGAATATCAGAGCCATACCAACAGACTGATGATAAGTTATTTAATGGGCTGTGGTGTGATGTGGTACAGATCTTAAGCGTGTCGACAAAAAATGTGCAATGTTCAAAGTCCTGTAAACAATGTGACATAAAGCAAAAGGTGAGTAGGAGGCAGACTGCCTGTCACTGAATGAGCATAAGCACAGACCAGCTGGGATAATCATGAGGCTGTGACATGAACACTAAATGTATTGGTTTGAGGCAGGCAGGTAAAGCAGCAGAGTCATCGACTGTTTTATGAAGCGATCACAGTAATGACGTGGTACATATGAATACTCAATAACAGGTGGGCTAATTAGGATGGGGAGGCGGGGAGCATTGCAGGTTTCTGGCTTCCCTATTTACGTAGTCATACTATTATTGGTATCATGTTAAGATTTATAATTGGTCTTTCTAATGTTCCATAAACTAAAACCAGCTAGCTGTTAGCAAAGCATTAAGAATCTTGAAAGCCTGACTCATGTCTGGAAATCAGATTTCATTTGTCCATCCACATTCCTGCTTCCTGTATCTGTTACAGCCTTCCATTAGCTGCACTGAAGAGATTGTGTGGCCATCAGCATCCACATCCATGGAAATAGGCACAGCCTAGTACTAAAATAGCTGTGTCAGACAATATGCCCTCTTGCTTTCTGTGGGGCGATGCCTCTCCTTTCCTGGAGCTTATGCTCCAGTTCTGGGTGTGTTGTGATTCTTTTGGGAGGTTCACTATAATGTGCTCATGGAATTGCATGGCTTTTTTCAAAGTGGGTTGAGTGCTCATTACACACACGTCGGCTCTCCAATCCAACAACAAAGCATGCGGAACAAAAAGTTTCAGTCTCAAGCAACAGAATTTAAATCATCAGTAAAACAGAGCTCTTGGATCAATCCTCTCAAAGTTGGGGTAGTAAAATGTGTAGTGCTTTTGAAAAGAGGGTTTCTACAACAAACAACATCAAAGCCAACTCCTCCATGTTGCCCTGATGAAGTGTTTCAAGGCGTGCATTTTTTCCTGAGTAAATGTAATCTTTATGAAAGCTATTTGCTTCATGGTTTGTGTGGGAACCCAGCACTTCCCTCTGGCTGTGCTGGCTGTCTTGAGACCCTGGCAGGGGGCTCGGAGACCTTGGCACAAAGTCAAAAACACCTGTGGCTTTGAATTTAGCTGTGGAAAAAACTTCCAACTTTGTATGAGGAATTACAAGCCACAAAGGTTTGAGTGTGGTAGTTGAATTAACACTGGGTGAAAAAGAAGAATTTTAGGGTTTTAAAAGAAGGGATTCAAGGGGACAAGATGGAGGGATTTGGGCATGTCTTGACCGTCTTCTCCTTCTTCTTGCCCTCTTGCTGTGACTTTTCTATTGGTTTAAGGTAGAGACACACTGTCCAACATAAATGATAGATATTGGCACTTTATTGTAAACATAGTACACGTAGTTTTTAGTAGAAAATGGTAACACCACCCCAAAGGAGTGGGAGTCTGTCGCAAACCAATCTGCTAGACAGAGCGCAGCTCCTTGGGAAAGCATGTTATAGATAAGAGAAAAGAAACAACCTTGATAAGCCGACCCTACGCATTCTGACTTCTTCTTTGGCTGTGCGGGCTGCGAGAAAAAGACTTTTTACAATTTCAGGGTCATCTTGACCACCAGACCCCCGAGAGGTTTGTACTTCTGTGCAAAAGAACAGCTCTGTCTGTATCTTTGACCACAGTGCCTTGCTGAAATGATTGTGACCAGAGAGACTGGTTTCCAGGAGGAACGTCAGAGTTTGCCTGCATGAAGGTTATGGTGTTTGTGGAGAGAAACTGACCTTTGAGCCTGTGGGCACCTAGGAAACACAGGCATCCCAGATTACACATCGTTCAATACAAGGGCTATGGAAGCCTTCCTGTCTATGAGACTAAGTGAAAAACATTCTCTTTTTTTCTGCCTTTTTTTGTGTGTGTATGTGTGTTTTTTCTCCTTACAATGTCTCTGGATCACCTTTCCCTGGGTGCTGGCACCAGAGGGATTCTGACAAGTTTCTTTATGTCAGATGTTTGGTATTATCAATGAAAATCTCTTTCTGGCACACAAGTCATACATCCTGCATTATGCCAGCATGGATGACTACAGGAAAAGCCCTTTGAGGGCTAGAGAAACCTGCGATTGGAAGCTCTTTCATATAACCATATTTTAAAAAGGTACATTTTACAATTGCCAAAATTTGGGTTTGTTTTAAACCGTATTTTTTAAAGACAATTCACATGTCTTAGTGCAGTAAACCTAAAAAAGTGTGAAAATATCCCTTAAAAAAATGTAGCAGGAAGGACTTGAATTTTCAAAGAGCACAAGCTGAATATTGTGTTCATTTCTGGGTCCCTCACTACAAGAAAGACATTGAGGTGCTGGGGCATGGCCAGAGAAGGGCAATGAGGCTGGTGAAGGGTCTAGAGAGTGACATCGGTGACTATATCTGTTATCAAAATACCATTGAATACTTTTTTTTTTAAAAAGTGAGGGACTTGGGTGTTCATTTATTATGTAAGGTCATTTAGATTCTTGAAATTAAGCAGTGATTTTGAGCTGTGTAACAGAGGAGCAACATGGCTTATTTATAAAAGGCTGTGTTTGAGACATAAATGAAAGGAATAAACTTTTCTTTTTCTGCATCAAAAAGTGTATTGCGGCAAGGCCACGCGGTGGCAGCAAAGGGCACAGTTTAAGCTAAATCCCCTGAAACTATACGGGGATCCTTGCTATCAAACTTTTTTCCTGGGTTTTTCTGTGCCACAAGCAAATTCAGAGCCCTTTGTTTATTATTTCTTTCTTTAAAGGAATGTCAGGTCTATAAATGTCCAGGGACTGTCCCGTATTTTTGTAATTTATATGTGACTTTTTTACCCTTGACATACTGAGGTATTCCAAGTCTGTACCTACATTGAAGTTGTCCCAACTGTATTGCTTTAAGTAGAGAATATATCACCAAAAGGAAACCCATTTTCTCCTTTGAGAGACTGCATCAGTAAATAATGCTTTGATGTATAACATTACAACACAGTGATGTACTTTTCATATGACATCCAAAAATCAAAGCTGTGGCTGCTTGTGTCACAAATATCAGCTGTCTTGTCCTAGATGAAGAGATTTTCAGTTGTCCAAAGGATGCTCAGGTGCTTCATTATTCGACACTATAAAGTGTCATTGAAATAACAGACACAAACCCATTTTCTCTTTAGCTGCAAATTGCCACATCACTGTAGCAATAACACCAATTGTTGGGATTGTCTTCTTTGAGTGTTGCGTGTGTCTTGAGAGGGTTTGGTGTGAATTTGTTACCTGTGCTGAAAAGGTTTTGGTTATTCTCATTAAGCACTAGGAGAGAGCACATATTTTTTGGGGTAGTTTTATCTTCTCTTACTGCTAATTTCTTTTGCAGAATAAGTGTGAAATTTCAGTACATTTTACATTACTTGCGGAAATTCCTTAGGAATAATAGTGCAACTTAAATTCATTCTCGTTAGACTGATTAAGTGGATTTGGATCCAATTACAGTCTGCAGCTGACAAATGCCTGCACAGAGGGCTTGCATTTTGTTTGACAAGCTGAAACAAGAAAACAGCTATTTATATATTTAAAAGCCACAATAATAGCTTTCTATTAAATACTTTACCCTTATCCAAATTAGTTACTACTTTTTCGTTTTTCCCCAAGATACAGATTATTGTATCCCTGGAAATGTGCATTTATTCAAAGCTTTAAAGCTATGTTGTTCAGGATTCTGTGCTTTAGTTTGTTTGATTGCTCATTATAGTCAAGGATTAGTCATCATTAGCATAATTTTAGAAGAAGATTTAGGGACAACAAAGATTTGGTCTGTTTTCCAAACCATGGTTACTATTCTACAGAACTGTGAGGCCCACAGTGGATCTTTATTAGGCCTCCAGTATACTTTCATAGCTGTGTCTACCTGGCCATATGTTTTGTGGGCTTTATGTTGATGTATCCTCTGTGTATATTTGGTGTAGCTGCATATTCATACTGTAGTCATGCTTAATATTTGGCAAAGATTATAGTGTCTTCAGAAAGTTCAAGCTTTTGTGAACTGCTGGAAGGAAAGGTTCCAAATCTGTAAGGCCTCTGTGCTCTTCTGAGACAC